AACCTCCTCATCCTCATCTTCCTGAAAAATGTATTAAAAACTTAATTGTGCGTGTCACTTCTCAGGGGGTCTATGAATGAGAACACAGAGAAGCAGCCCATGAAATGTAAGGCTGATAAATGGGTGGTCAAATCCAGGAGTCAGACACATAAGGATTAAAACACAGACGAAGGTCGACACCGTAGATGAGCGTCAAGGTCAATGGTGATGTCTCTGTGTGTCGCAGAATGGTGATGAGTCATGTGGCAGATGACTGGGTTTGGAGATGGGGAATTAGTTGGTCCATATCGGACCCCCTAAGTCTGAGATGTCATAGTTTACTTGGAAATATACTGACAGGAAGGCTGGATAGGCTGGAGCTTGAAGAAGAGCTGGATGCTGAAGGTACACACTCCAGAGTTGTGGGTGTGTGGATGGGAATTTCCCGCCAGGGGTTACAGGTTTGGTTCTGCAGGAAGCAGACTCTGAGGGGGGCGTTAGCACGTCAGAGGTTGATGAGAGCAAGCTTCCCTGAGAAATAGATACCCTTATATTTAAGCTTACGTATCCTCCCCCTGCCACTCTTGTACCTGCATTGGGTCCATCTTGTTAATCTCCTTTTTCAAAGGCTGGTCCCTTTACTAATCTCCACCTCCCAAGGCCATTGCTCCTTCAGTGAACCCCACTCTGTCCTGTGTCATCGGCGCTCCCCTAAGCATTCCCATTATATGCTACACTCTTCTCTCTCCCACCATCTTCCCAGCTCTGGTCTCTGTCTTCAGCCACGGACCCATATTTCCGCTCTCCTTTATGCCTAATGTTTCTAATGAGGTGTCTTCTCCTACTGTCCCCGGACTTCAGTCTCCTTCATCCTGCATCCCACCTGCCTTCCACTTGTCCCACCAACCCGGACTGCAGTTTCAAGGTCATTAACAACAGCTCTGCTGTCAAACCCACACTGGCACTCGTCCCCATCTCACACAACCTCTCAGCATTATCTGGAATTGTTGACAACCCCACTGTTGTAGAAGTACTCTCTCTCCTGACCTTAGTAAAGATATGGCTGGGGTTCCTCCCACCTCAGTGGCCATCCCCTTCTTATCGCCTTGCTTCACACTTGGGCCTCACTGTGCCCCCGTGGGGTTTTTCTAGGATTAGTCCAGCATACATACTTTCCTTACACTGGATTGCTTATGGCTGTTGGTTTAACTATTATCTCCAGGGTGATGACTTTTAATTGTAATTCTCCATGCTAGACTTTTCTTCTGATCTCCCTGGGCCTCCTTGGCATCTCCATGTGAACTTCACCTAGGCATCTCTCCTTAATCTGTCAAAGACTGAACTCTTGTTCCCTCCCTCACTTAATTCTGCTCCAGACTTCCACATTTCTGGAAATCACATGACCACTAAGCCATTGCTTAGTTCTGCTTTCTCCTTTCCCCTCCCTTCTCCCTGCCCCGGGGTCGATAATCCCATCAGGCTTCTTCTGCAGTGAGATCATTATGTCCTTCCACTCCCCCGGAATACCCTGCTCCCACCTGCGCCTACCTTTCACTTGGCTTACTGAAAGAAACTCCTCACGCTGGATCTTCTTCTTTTGCTGCCTTCAATATATTCTCCCTATATCAGACAACCTTCTTGAAATATAAATCAGTTCTCACTTGCCTGCCTGAAACTTCAAAGCTTTCACAATGTGCTTAGAATACAATAAAATTGTATTTTATCCTTGTAGGAATTTGGATGAATTCCCATCAACCTACCTTCTCTATTTCATTCAACTTTCTTCCTCACTCCACTGTCTCATATCGAATTAGTCTTTTTCAGTTCCAGCTTCTTCCTGAGCTCGGTCTTGACTCAGGCCATATTGTTCCTCTCCCTGAAGGAACCCCCCACTCCCAACCCTCTTCCCTCCTTTGAGTTGCCCTTCCCTTGCTCTTGCTCGGGTCCCAGCTTTGATGTAACATCCTCAAGAACGTCTCCCCAGGCCCTTTCTCTCCACAGTATGCTCCACCTTTAGCTTGGGTTCTCATTTCCTTCTTATCACTTACCACACTTGGTTCTAAGCCCATCTTCCTCCTCCACATCATGATCTGTCATGTTCACCCAGATGCTCAGGTATGTCATAGGATGAGTAAAATCTGGATGTTAAAGGGACTTCTCATAGGAAAGACCATCAGGGGAGAAGTCATTGTTTTCATTGTATTTGTTGGAATTTATAGCAAGACATTCAGAAGGCAGAGCATAGAATTTGGCAAAATACAAAGAGGCAAGTACAAGGATAATATTCTGTATCTCTGGGGCTGTTTGTACCTCACACAGAATCAAGTACACACAGAATCATGTACGGTCGTCAAAAGCCAATAAAAGACCGGAGAAGAAATAAAGGTAGGTAATACTGAGAAAGATTTTAAGGTCTATTAAAGAGGAATTACAACACATCCTTGAAGGATTGCTTATAATATGTTTTGAGTCAAACGTACCTGTAGAGTAGAAAATGATCATTTGTTCAGATATTGATCACCACCAAGTGATATCTACTTATATGTATATATACAAATATATATTTATGTGCACGAGCACACACACACATACACAAGGAAGAATTATAATGCCACAATGCAAGGTTCTTGACAGATTATTTCTCTAAGTGGCCTGCAGGCTGTTAAGAAAAGTATCTGCTTCTATTTATTCCCAGAACCCAGATTACTTAATTTCCTACATGTGCCAGGCACTCCTGTTTGCATGGGATAGATCCTTCAACAACAACAACAAATGGCAGCTAGCAGATGTGTCAGGTGTTGGGAGCTGCCAGAGAGCAAAACGGTGAGAAGAGATGAGTTGCTGGGAGACCTGCTCTTCCATTCCAACGGTCAGGGAAGGCCTCAGGGAGACAGCAACACGTCAACAGACAGATCTGTTGGGAGTGGCGCACACCAGGTGCAACGAACAGCAGGTACAAGAGCCCTGAGATGGGGAACCTGCTTGGCAGAGAAGACAAGGACCCCTCTGCCTGAAGGAAGTGGTGAAAGTAGAGAGACCAGCAGCAGGGTCCAGTCTTCTGGTTGGTGACTTCTTTGGCCAACCTAAGACATTGGTTTTCCCCTGAGATGAGGAGCATTGGAGGGCATCTCCAAGAGTAATGGAATCGACCCCCATTTTGAGGAGATAACTCTGTTGAGAGCCTGTGGTCATGTAGGTGCAGAGGTGAAAAAGCAGGTATAGGGCCATAGGAGCGACCCACTAGGGGATGATGGAGATGCAGACAGAGGTGACCAACTGGTCAGAGTCTAGATGTGCTTTGAATGCAGAGACATCCTCCTTGCTAATGGCCTCAATAGGAGGGCCAGAGAAAGAAAGAAGACAATCCAATACTTTGCGCCCAAGCAACTGACCGCAGAGTTTCCATTCACAGAGATGCATGGGAGTGAAGAGCAGGCCACGATGGGGAGGGAAGCCAAATGCTTTTACAGATGATGATGTTGTTGGCTCTTTTTTTTACTGAGAAGAATTTCAGCATTGACCAAAGAAGATATGTGAAAAAGAGGAATTGTCTTGTTCTTTTTATAATCCCCCATCCTCCATCTTGTGCTTTTGTTGTGGACAAATTCTGGGAAGGGACAGTTTGGCCTGCGGTTCTTCAGCCATCTGTGAGTGCCCTCCCTACAGCTGGCAACACAAACTGTGCCTTATTATTAGTCACAATTATTAGTCAACATGTCTCAAGGATGACTGCTTCATAGGTTACCATAGATTCCAGAACATTCCTATTGCACTCATTGCTAGAACACATCAGGTCTCCCCTTTAGTGGAGTGAATAAATATCTGTACCCCAAGTGGCCTTTCAAATTTTTTTTTTAAATGTCCTAAATCTTCCCCACAGCCTACATTCTTAACTCTTAACTTAAAACATCTCTTTATGAATATTGATATTTGTTTTGATTTCTCCAGCCTTGCAAATGGCCAGGAATGAATCATCCAAGCCTGAGGGAGATGAGCTAGACACTTCTTCATTTTATCTTTTCGGAAGTTGTGGGGACACCAGGACTATCTGTAAGTAGGACGCCTCCCTCACTTTTGAGCAGCTTGGACAGGCTGAAGGGAGTCAGGTCCACCTCTTCTGTTACTCATAATTGGTAATTTTCCGGATTAATATCACACTTAAGAAACATATTTTTTATCATCTGCATTTTCAGCCAAGTCTTTGACAATTATTTTGTTATTTTTCTCTTCCTCTGAAAAAACATCCGTAACTTGATTTCTCTTCATTGGAATCATGCCCTACCTAACCGCCCCCCCCCCAAAAAACTGTGACAATATGCTCTATTGATTCTTTTTTATCTGTGTATTAACCAGATGATGAATTATGGCATATTCCTGGGGACCAAGGTCCTCCATGGCAGCAGAGGTAAGGACAAGGGACAAAATTACGGAAGTTTATTTCTTCTCACGTAAGGCCTCCCAGCCAAGTGCTAGAACAGTTTCCAGTGTGAACATAAACTATTGATTCAAAGCTGCCACCTGCTACTTAGCCACATCGAGAGGCAGGAGCTTAATATATCAGATGCCATTTGCTATTTAGTCTCAGGTGGTAGGCCAGAATCAATATCCTTAAATCAAGAATCTCTATATTAAGCAAGAGCAGGGACATTTATTATAATTCTGGCCCTTTCCTGCTGTTAGCATATGGAGGCAGGCAATTGCTCCGGTTTTCCAAGGCATGCTGCCCTCAATATCCCCTCTGTGTTCTTCTCCATAATTATATTCTCTCTGTACTAGAGAGTCTGAAACAGACGTTATACTCAGGTATATTGTCGAAAATATTTTGACCGCTTGAAAAGATTAAATATTAAAAGATGATCTAATGGCACTTGTTTTGAGAATTAGATGAGAGTTAATTAATCAATACAAAATGAAGATAGTGCTCGTCCGACAGTGTTGGAAATAACACCAAAGTCAAGAAATCGGTAAGTACAGAGGAAACCGGAAACATTGAGCTATAGTAAACCCAACATAAAACTTACCTCCAGCTTTCTCAGGATCTGCACCGACTGGTGTTAGAAGGTACACCAGTATTTCCAAAAATTTTGAAAACCTTTTTGACCTCACCCTCCAAGAGAAATTCATTAGGGGTACCCAGTAGATTTCTTAGCAGTGCGCAAGACCTCTTAGATAACAGTTGGGTATAAAATTCAAAGGTTGCCTCCATAGCGTTGCTTCTTGTACGGCCCTTTGACGAAAGTCAAACTTAAGCTGACAGGGCTCCAATTAAGTCCGATCTCCTGGGAAATAGACCAGGGGTGTGTCCATTTTGGGGATCTTCAATTCTACTTGAAATTTTGGGGAAAATTTTAAGTTCCAAATTAAATATTAGAAAAACGTTACTTTATACTCAGCTGGACCAAAGATAATATGAGACAGAGCAGGAGATTTACCTCAGGTGGGTGATGAGGGACCCTGGGGACCCGGCCACCACCACAGCACCAGCATGCAGGTGGCAAAGATGGGACATTCTACTCAAACCCAATCTTTCCCTTTGAACTGGGACTGGAACCCATAAGAAGGCTTTTACTGCTTTTTTCAAATATTTCAGTAGAATTTTGATCAAGATTTGAAAGCCCTTGGATCTGGATAAGCATCATCCCACTTGGTTCACACACAAACAGTTCCTGTCTGTGAATCTGAGTCATTAAAAAATCCCCCAAGCTAATACTTCTGCAGCACACACCGTGCACCGGGATCTGTTCCAATTGCTTTACGTGACTCATCCTCACGTGTTCTCCTAAGCCCGTGACTAACACTAGCTTCCATTGTTTACCACGAGGAAGTGGAGACACCAAGAAGCTAAGGAACCCTGTGGGCTGCCCTGCCGGCGGGTGGTGGGTTGGGATTCAGACCCAGGGTCTGCCTTCCCAATTGCGGGGCTACGCTCTCTGCCTAACTACAAATATATTGTGATTTAATTTATTTTTAATTAAGCTCCACCACAGGGCTTGAACTAACAACCCTGAGATCAAGACCTGAGCTGAGATCGAGTCGGACGCTTAACTGACTGATTCACCCAGGAACTCCCACAGATACTGTAAAACTTCATTTGTATTCAACCTTTTATTTTCAATGAAACAATGACAAACACCCAGAAGTGCAAGGGCTTCTGTCTTCTGTCTTTTTTCTCATTTAAGACATTACATCTTTCAGCATTGAGAAACAGAGAGAAAATTATCATGGAAATTCCAGGGCTAGCCGGCAGAATGTTTGTGTTGTAACGGAAGGACTTCAGTTGGGGTTCTGTTTGTTTCTGCATCCAGCGTCAGTTAGCCCTGAGTGCCCATGCCAGGGAAAACGAAGTCAGGGGAGGAGCTGAGCAGAATCGAGGTCTCCAGAAGGACCAAGATCTAAGTGAGTCAACACATTATCTATTACTCCTGTTGTCACCATCAATGTGCCTTCACAGAAATCATGATAACAATGCATGAACAGCAATCACTGCATTGGCTCAAGCACCTTCTGGGGACCAAGCACTGTGCTGTTTCTCTCATAGTACGTCATTGAAAACTCACACCAGCCCTTCAAGGAGAGCCCGATGCCACCCACATCTCTTCTGGCTTCGACGCCAAGGCTCTTCACCACTAGGTTATGTTGCTTCCTAGAAAAACAGAAAAACAAAGCCTAATCTCGGATCCAGTGCAGGCACCTGCAGATTAAGGTGTGGACCATGTTCCTTCATTTATCTGAGCCACTCCTGTGTGCGGTGGGCGCTACCAATCACAGTTGCGTGGGGGTGAAGAAAGTGCAGTCCTCACAGAGTCAACACTTCATTTAGGGAAAGGGAAAGAAAATAATTGGCAGGAATGGCTAATTCCCACCGAGAAGTGTGGAGAAATATTCACAGAGGGCAGAGCCAAATAGCTGAAAGTTAAAGACTGAGTAGAATTGCATGGCGGAGTGGGAGAGGCCAGCACCATCTGAGGAAAAGGAACAGCAAAGGGACAGAAAGAGACATTGTCACTTCAACAAAGAAACGTGGGAGAGAATGGAAACACCTCTCTAAGTCAACTAAAGCACAGTTATTTTAATCCAAGGTAAAATTGTTATTCAAGATAAAAATGAAAAGAAATTGCATAGATGATTCAAGATTAAAGGAACCGAATGTAGATTTGGTTCCTGCAAAGGTAGCGTGGCACTGGGAAGCACAGTTCCACACCGTAAGGTCGGGATGAAAGGCGCTTTGGAATCCCACACTTAACCTTATTGTGCAGAGTTTTGAATAAATGCTGTTATGTGACCACCACCCTTTGCTTTAAAAATTGGTGTTTATCCACTCTGCAGCAGAAATGCTTGCACAGAATGTGTTTCTCACCAGGGTTTTTAAATATTTACATCTGCTGATTAATAATTTATAGTTGGCATTCAGGACCTTAGACTCATGAATAATTGACATGTTCATTTAAGATTTGCAACTGTTCCGGATAATGGTGAAGTGCACCAGTCTGGTTCCCCAGCACGCCGATGGTGAAAGTTTACAGTGAAATCAGGCTTTCTTTTTGGTTCTACAGAGGTTGGAAAAAAAGATATAAGCAAATAAGGCAGGAGAATAATTGTGTGTGCAGATGGTCTCTCTATTAAGAAAGGGAAGAGTAATTGGCACATAGGGAAAGTCTCAATACTCATGGCAACACTAACAAGTGGGTTTTATTGGCTCCATTTTCAGTAGAAGGAAGGGGGCTCAGAAAATCTGATTCAATTCCACATGGCCTCACTAGCCTATTTAAGTCATTGAAGAGTAATATGAAATCGTAAAAATACAATATGTATACGTACATGTATGATGTGTGTACACATATGTCTCTATGCATGTAATACACGTATGCACATATGTATTTCCAATCACCACCAGTTTAATTATTATGATAGTGTTTTCAAGAAAAGAAAACTATCTGATAAAGAGAAACTAGTCCAAGGGTTTGCGTGACTGACAGCTTACCTGTCATCTTGGTCACTCTGAAATCCCCATTTATAACTTCTTTCAGAGAATTGCATGATAGTTACTGGCAGTTTGATGTCAAAATAATTCTTCTATTTGAAAAGAGGAATGTCAAACTTAGAAGATCTAAAAAAAAAATAGTTTCAATTCTAATGTATGTGTTGCCGAAGTGAGCACAAGACAAAAATAGTTCATGTAACTTTTCACTAAGCTGTTTTTCTGTCCCCTGGCAATTCGGTGTAGGGTTCAGTGAGTAATCTCCTGCATGGGTCACAGGCCATGGGCCCCATCATGAAAAAGGCTTGTTTTGTAACTATTTTTCTAAGTTTACTCGTATATCTCTTCTTGAGACCAAGCCCCATTAACTATATAATCTGTTCCATAGGATTCCTCACTCCTCGACTAGAAAAACTCATTCTTAGTTTATTCTTTTATTTTACAAAATGGCTAACTCTTGTCAAGGTAATAGCAGAGAGGTTTTATGGCACTGTGATTTCTGGGGGTGATATTTCAAGTACGATGAAAGTGGGTAAAGTTGTTTTCTTTTTTTTTTTTTAGATTTATTTATTTATTTTTGAGAGGGAGGGAGAGTGAGAGAGAGAGAGAGATGGACAGAGAGAGAGTGCATGGGGGGGGGGGCAGAGTAAGAAGGACAAGCAGGCTCCCCGCTGAGCAAGGAGCTGACATGGGATTTGATCTCAGGACCCTGAGATCATGACCTGAGCCGAAATTAGGAGTCAGACGCTTCGCTGACTGAGCCACCCAGGCGCCTCTGGGTAAAGCTGTTTTCTAATGACGATCACAAACGCCATCCGAGCCAATATCCACATTTCTTACTGAGAAGATATTTGAAGATTCTGCCCGTGATGCACCGGAAGTGGGTGCCTCCTTGTCACAGGCTTGGTGGCACTTTCCTGTGTCCTCACAGCTGGTGAGCATCCCGTGTTCCAGAGCACACACAAACAGTTGCTCATTTGCTTATTTTGACTGATGTTCCTTGCTCCTGTCTTCCCCGGCCCTGTGAAGAGACTTTTTTGGCCCTAAACTGCAGGTTGTGCTATTCACTGCAAGTTTTCTCATTTGTGAAATAGAGGTCCCTCTATTTTATTGACTCTGCCTCCTCCAGAAGAACCATCAACTTCTAAGCACTTTCAGTTCCATCTGTCTGTGTCTGGGGAGAAAATGCGGGCATCAATCACAGCTTGACCACACAAAGAGAAATCGAGCTACAATTCAAAACACAGGGCAGTTAATCGAGGGAATTGTTTACATAGTGGTTCAGGAGCTCAGAAGCTGAACAGGAGCAGTGATGTAATGGGATGAATCAAAAAGCAATTTCTCAAGGCTGAATGTCAGGAGTAGGTGGTGTTACCAGGGTCAGGGGCTGAGGTCATGATGCAGAAAAGAAAGTCCTGGTGGAATTTTCTGGCAAGAGCTCCAGCTAGAGGGAACAATATGGGATTAGGACATGGCACCCAAGGTGGACAGGGAGAGGCCAGAAGTAGTTCCTTCCTCTTGTCTTTACTCTCTTCCTGTGCCAGTCCATGTCCAAGCTGGTAGGACTCAGCTGACATGGGGACGGGGCTGTATGGGTGTGGGGGTGGGGTGGGAAGGGAGCCAATGCACCTGCACTGTAGGGAGAGCGGGGGAGGGTCGAGGATGAGACCTGCTGGCAAACAGGGGGTCCTGCCGCCACCATCACCCTCTGAGAAGGGGACTGAGATTCTTCGTGCACTTCTCCAAGGTCAAGTCTGGAGTGAGACTGGACTCCATTTTCTTGCCAAGTCAATAAAGGTAACAAAAGTCAGAATTTATCACTTCCCCTGTGAAATAGAACATGACATAAAAGATATCTGGATGCTTTCTTAACATCTACAAAAATATATTTTATAGGAGGAAATGGCTAATTATCAACCTAAGGTAAATTTTATAAAATGAAAAATTTTCAGAGTAGATTTTTAAAAGATAACTTTCTTGACAAATTAAAGGTCTATTAATTAAAGGTCATTAGATTGGCAGAAATGTGCTTGTGGTTTGAGAAGAGATACAAATTGTGCATGGAACATGAAAACCACTTTCAGGCACTTTGCGTGGGAGGCTTTGGGAGCAGAATGCCACGTAACACAGGGACGAGCTGCTTCCACCATCATCAGAAGGGCAGGGGTCGAGGATGGCAGGAGGTGCCCGGGGACAGTGTCAGGAGGTGCACAGGAGCCATGAGGAGGGCAGGGGGCTGCTGCTTCTGTCATTCCTGCCCCGCGCAACCCCCCACCTCATCTGCCTCGTAGACACTGGCATGTGGATTGCAGCCACTGAATCCACTCCCCGTGGTCCTCCGGCAGCCACATCAGGCAGGGGGCTCGCAGCTCAGGGCTAAGTTTTAACATTTCATACGAGCGTGTCTCACTGATGGTTTGCCATCTAGGACTCCGGCTGGAAGGAAGTTTTGGAAATGTGGCTTTCAGACGTCCAGCCCCTTCAGTACATGAAAGATGGGCGTATACGGGACAGGTATGTTGGCCGAGTGTTAAAAAGCAATTTAAAGCTAAGACTGCTATCAGACTTCTGGGAAAAGCTAATTCCCTGATTTAAAAAAAAGAAAAAAATGCTTGAGAAGAAATTCTCCTTCCTCCTTTGGAGGAGGATGTGATGTCTGGAGAGATGGTTTCCTTTTGCAGT